TGTTTGAATCTGACGGAGACCATGTCAAGGACTTTGTAGAAGTCCTTTAGTGCAAGTACACCCTGAAAACAGTCAAAAGTAGATGGTGGGTCGTCAACTTTCTTGCAAGTTTGTGCTTAGTCGTCGACTCGTAAAACATATTGGTTACCTTGAACTTAGCTTGGGGAAGAAATCAACAGTTATTAGGTCAAAAGAAAGAAACAAAATCAGGCAAGGCCATAATAGCAAAAATATAATCTCAGGGTTCTTTTTTTGTCTCGATCTACAATAGTACAAGGATGATCATGGGATACGTACAAGCATAATGTGATTGTCAACAAGGAGACAAACCCAACAACATTCATCGAAATTGATAATAAATATCTTTCTCTCTCTCTGTTTCTCTGTATGTCTGTCTGTCTGTCTGTCTCTCTCTCTCTCGCGGCCTTGCACACGAGATCCTAAACCCTACGTGTTAAATCTAAAGGCATATGTTGCATACTTTGACCCTACACCCTACCCACAAAGCGTGGGACCCTATATTTTGAGCCCTAAAGTTTATGGACGATGACTTAGCATCATTGGCATTCAGGTGACTAACCCCAGGCAAATCAGAATTCTTTCATTTACCGAAATCCATCAGGCTTTAAACTTAGCTCTATTTAGTAACCGTTAAGTTTATGAGATTGTCATTCATCATGTCACATAGACATTTTGAAGCTTTTTTGTTCCAAGACAGATAATAAAAAAAAATTCCCACAAGAAATAAAAGTCGAAAAAATATTACATTAAAAAACAAATCCTTCATATTTAAAAAGTATCATTCGAATGTTCGTCCTGTTCTAAAATTTTCAGTTTTATTTGATAAGTTCCCACATAAAAATGAGTTTCCCTTCCAACTATATCTATTTATTGAAGATGAAGTTTTATCTGTCTCCGTTACCACTAAGCTARAAAAMAAAAAAAAGRGAGAGAGAGAGAGAGAGAGAGAGAGAGAGAGAGAGAGAGAGAGAGAGAGAGAGAGAGAGAGAGAGAGWKWTAGWKMGRRAGGAAGTTCACGTAAKWGAARGWGWKAKGTTGATRWCATAACTCAWTTCAAAATTGAAAAGGTTTTTTTTTTTTTTTCTCACTGCAATCCGCAAAAATTTCAAATATTTTTCTTTGACGAAAGGGGTTGCATTGTAGCATTTAAAGGAATTTTGTAGTCATAATCGTTGATGAATATGAAAAGTTATATTCATTGAGGGCAATACATTTATAGCTTCCTATCATATAAATTTCACTGTTGTTGTGACCGAGGGTGGTGGAAAGTGCGACGTTCACATTGAATTTTCGATCCCAAACCTAACTTGAAAACCCTCAACGCTAAACTGTAAAATCTTGAAACCATATACTATGGAGGTTAAGTTGAAAAAAAGAAAACGGAGACCTCGTGGAGTTTTGCTTGCAACTCTTGATTATGAAAAAATGAAATTCGCATAAGTTTCTCCGTCATTACTAAAAAAAAAACATGCAGGATTTCCCTTTGGAGGGTTATCGCAATTCAAATACTATTCTCGTTTTGGGTGGAGAGAAGTGGTTAGTGCAATTCAAGTGCTGTACATAGTAAATATTTTCACAAAATTTATGGAATACCTGGTCCCCCAGGTTGCGGGGTTGGGTAGTCGGACAACTTGTCAGTAATGTTCTCTTGCGGAGTGAATGTTGGGCATGTTAAAATTCCATGATTTGTTTTTTTCCGTTTCTAGTTTTTTTTTTTTTTCGGTTTCCTGTTATGTCAGTTGTAGGAGAGAGAATATTCAAAAAAAGAAACATATGGCTAAGTTTTTTTTTTTTTTCCTAAAAGGAAAAAAGTGCAAGCAGTCATGTTATAAGTGGTCCCCGACCACTTTCCCAGCCAAGAGAAAAATTAAAAAAAAAAAAAAAACTTAGGCTACCAGCCGGGCCGCCCGGGTCCTGGGTGGCCAGCCCGTGCAAGAACCAGGGAAGGTCCCAAAAAAAACAAAACAAAAAAAATCCCAAAACAAACTTTGTTATGCATAAAATTAAGCTAAACAACTTTTGTCTCTGGGTCACATCGAAAATTCCAAACCTTACGGTGTTCGGCCCCGCCAAAAATTATTTCAGGGCCTAAAAATACGTTTTTTTTTTCTGAATTTGTTTTTGTGTGTTCTCTATGACGTGAGGTACATGCCTATAAAGTTTCACATTATTTGGATAAGCCAAAGAAGAATTAAAAATCGCCAAAGATGGCAGTGTCAAAACGTGCTCGCCCACGTTTTTCTTCACTTTTTACTTTTTGTTTTCACTTTAGTTCGGGGTCTAGACAATTTTATTATTTTTTGAAACTTTTTAAGTGGGTTTTGTATTATGTGAAGTACAGATCTGTAAATTTTCAAGGCATTTAGTTATGCAAAAAAAAAAAAAAAAAAATCGCACAAAATGGCGGTGTCGAAAACATGCTATCGCACTTACTAAATTTAATTCTCTTTTCATTTTTATTTATTGTTATTATCAGTATTTGTTCTCGGTATTTTATGTTTATTTCAAATTTGGTAAGGAATTCGGATGTAATGCTCAGACAAATCTTGTTTAATTTATTTTTTTCCATAACATATTTGGTTTTCATATTTTTTTGATGATATATTTTTTTTTTTTTTTTTTTTTTATGTCCGTGTTCGGCTTGAATGGTCGAACGCATCCCCAAGGGGTCCCATATGTTTGGGCGTTCAGGTTCGGGCGTTCGGCCCGTCCCGAACGCCGGTTACCCCTTTATTTTTTTTTATTTTCTTTTTTGGCCCGACCGAGCAAGTGATCCTGGGCCACTTTGGTAGCCTAGAATTTACATTGCCGGTTGCTGCAGAGTCTGCAGGATTTCTGCTCTTTCTCTTCTAAACAGCAGAAGATGACCGTTATAACGTCGTTTCTTCATCGGGCCAAGGCGATGACCACCGAGGATGGAATAGAGGGTGCTTTCCTCTTTACTCTGAAGGTGGAGCTATGAATAAGGGGTTTTTCGGACTGCTGGTTTGATAACGAGCTAAAAAACTTCTCGAAAAAGAGAGGGGGAATATGGCCGGATTGGGTGGAAGTGTTCACCGGTTGGAAGATATGAGGGGTGAAAAACATTTTCAATTTGTTCTGATTTTTTCTTTGTTTTTTCTGTTATTTTTTCTGATTTTTCAACAGCCTCTTTGGTTCTCTCGTTTTGAACTTACATGTGGTTCTATGAGAAGTGGGTTTGAAAAAACGTTAGGAGGATGGTACTCGCCAGTGGTGGCATATTTAAGGTCCGGTAACCTGTGGAAGACTTGGATGCCATGAATCCGACCTTGGAATAAGTTTTGGTTCGGAATGTAGACGATTTTGTGAGGAGATTCAATACGTTTGGAAGTTTCGAGGGTTTTTGCTGTAGAAGGGGTCGAGATAGACCCGGTTGACAAATGAACTTTTTTACGGAAGCCTGAACGTAAGGCGGAATAGGGCCTCTTTCAAGTAACATGTTTTAGTATTTAGGCTAGTCCTATCGCATGATGTCACCAAGCGACATCTAAGACCCGTGAAGAAGCCGGTACAGCGACCGACCGAAACATGTAGGGTCGCATGCCGAAGTCCATAGCCAGTTTTCAAAGTTTTATTCTTACGGCTATTGTCGCATTTGGGTTAACAACGATGTATTTTTCGGATATCGTGCGGACAGTTTGACGTGTGTGTTTTTACTTCTTTTTCTTCCTTTTCTTCTTCCTTCATCTTCCTCTTCTTCTTTTTTTTTTTTTTTTTTTTCTTCTTCTTCTCTTCTCTCTTCGTCCTCCCTCATTGCGCGATGTGGATGCTAATTGCTTGACGAACTGTGTGAGGAATATTAATTGTCATTTTACGTGGTAACCTACGTAGAAATAGAACTACGTTTAGCATGGCTACGTTGCGTCAACAGATATTCACGACGTACGAAGGTAGGGGGGTCATTCTCATCCTCTTTCCTTTCTTCATCCTCGTTCACTACTTCTATTTCTTCATCTGTCTCACCTCGATCTACCCCTTTAGTAACTTGTAGCATCATGTCGGGTTTTGTACCAACGTGCTATGCGTGCGGGGTTGCAGGGCACATACGGAGAGAATGTCCGAACAGAGCGCACAGAGCCTACGACGGAGCGGTACAGCAGGCACAACCACTGAAGCAGGCGCAGTCACTGCTAGCACTACAAGCGCCACCAAGCGTTGCGCAACCAGTTCAATACGCGCAAGCAACAAGAAATAACTGGTATCCTCGGTTGGGGGAACGTGTTGAGAAAATAAAGACGATTTTGGACAGGTTAGACGGAAGGGACCGAGAACAGCAGGAGAACGAAGAGAAAGCAAAAAAACAACGGGAAGAAGAGGAGAATAGGGCGATTCGGCGTAAGGAATGGGAGGATCTCGAGGAGGCTATGGGAACACGTATGGAGCAAAGATTTGAGAAGATGAATAACACCTTCTTTGAAAAAAGGCAGGAGGAAGAAAAAAATGAACTGGAAAAATTAAAGAAGAAAGTGGAGGAGTTGGAGGCGGCGTTGGCAAAAAGCAAGGCGGCTGCCCAACAAAGTGAAGAAAATGAACCGGTTAAAAGATACGGAGAAGAAGGCGGAAGAAAGGAAGGGGAGGTACTCAGAACCCCGGTCGGCGTTGACTTACGGCTGAGGGGGTCTGGATGTTCGAGACAATGTAAGGAGGGTCTGAAGAATGACTTTCAGGGAAACAACGAGTTACTAAGTCTGAAACGAGAACTGGACGAACTCCGGCGGGAGGCCAAGACAGGGCGCTGCTCACTGGAGCGAAAGTTGGAGATGTTGGCTATTGAGAACCAGGAGCTGCATAGAGGTACTGAGAGAGCAAACGAGGAAATGGTCACGTGGCGGAACGAGGCGCTTAGACCAGGCAACAAGCGAGGATCGGTAGCTATGCAAGGTGGTGCAGTGACGGAAGGGGCGCAAACTCGCACTCGCTTATGAACAACAATCGAGACACCTAATGCTGCCCGGCAGTCGAAGGAGTTACACGAGCAGAAAGCCATGTATCAAGCTACTATGCAGGAAATGGATGTTCTGAAACAACGGAAGGCACCAACACAAGCGGAGGTAATCAGAATGAAGGAAAGGCGGGTCAACTGGCGAAAGCGGGAAGGGCTGCGAGCACCCCGGTGAACAACCTGCGCGTGAGAATGGAGGAGACAGTTGAAAGACATGATGAAGGAGTGTTAGAAAGGGAAAGCAGAAGGCATCAGCAGGAAGAATGACAAGTGGTGCCAATGAGGTGAACGAGCGTTTTCAAATTATCAAGGAACAGAAGAAAGAACTTGGGAAGAAGATATGAGGGGTGGGAAACATTTTCAATTTGTCTTTATCCAATGGACCTAAAAAACCAACGGAAGGCGTTGACAAGTACACCCTCCAATGGACCTCAAAGGATAATGGAAATTCTGGCAGCATCTCCCCTATACAAGGTGAATTGCCAAAAATTCTCCTACCAGAGTATAATCTAACTCTTCAAAACTAGGAAAAACGCTTCCCGTAGGTAAATTGTATTTTCAAAATTTATACGAGGCTAAATATAAAATTCAGAAATAACTCAAACTTCACAAAGTCAAATTTTGTCCAACTCCCTGATTTAATAAACATTTGGGCAACACCTCCCCGGAAAAAGTAGGTTTCCCAGATTTTAACTAAGCCAGATATAAACTCAAACAAAAGTTGAACTTTGAAAATCAAAATTGGACTAACTCCTTGGTTTTATAAAAATTTCGGCTGAGCTTCCTGTACGAAAAGTAGCTATCCAAAATTTATACAGAGCCAAGTAAAATAAAAAAAAGTCACAGAAAACGCGAGAATTTGATCTAGTAAGTAAAATAAACTTAACTCAGAAAATGGAGGAATTGAACTAACTCATATAGCTCCAGCACGTGGCGAGCACCAACAGACTACCCTACTAAGCAACAAAATTAGATAAAGTTGAACAAAAAGAGAAGTCTTTGTCAGCAAGCATGTCAGGTCCACAACGCATTTAGTGAATTTAAAACAGGGGTTCGTTTATCTAAAGTGTTCATCTTCTGCTTGTCGTGATCACAAAAACATTAGTCTCATATCTTACTTGGTTGATTATCTTTCAAAGTTGTTCTCAATCAACCCTATGCAATATGAAAGACTTAGCAAGGCGACCGAATCGGTCAGAAGGACCTCATCTCCAACCCAAGTTCAATGTCTTAGGCAAAACGAGCAAGGCAACGGAATGAGTTTGGAGGACCTTATTTCCAACCCAGTTCAATGTCTTAGGCAAAACGAGCAAGGACCTTATTTCCAGCCCTAGTTCAATGTCTTAGGCAAACGAGTTAGGCGACCAGATCAGTCTGGAGGATCTCATTTTCAGCCTCAGTTCAATCTCTTAGGCAAACGAGCAAGGCGACCGGATTTGTCCGGAGGACCTCATTTCCAGCCCCAGTTCAATGTCTTCGGCAAACGAGCAAGGCGACCGGATCAGTCTGGAGAACCTAATTTCCAGCCCCTGTTCAAATCATCGCAAGCAGACATCGTGAATTCCATTCCAAGAAAAATGAAATTAAGCGAGCATAGTAAATTTTCTCTGATTCAGTTGAAGTCCTGAATTAAAGTCAAGGAAATATACAAAAAGTCAAACTCAGTCAAACTAGATGAAGGTTGATATAAATAGGGTTATATGGGATCTTAAAGGAAATCACGTCGGCCTGCCTCATAGTTCCCTGCCTTCAGGGTCCTACCTGAACCTTGGCAGAGCTCCTGCAATCAGTGGGGCGAACCTCCCACAGAGGCCTTGACACGGATTGCGGGTTTTAATCCCGCCTGCCGCTTTCCTCTCTGAACCAAAGGACTAGACTCAGAGTGAGAAGGGCAGAAGGAGAGATATTCAGACACTCATATACGAGAGGGGTGCGCTCAGACTTGCGTGAGAGGGCCTTGAAATGTTGATGCGACTGAGGGCCCCGCAATGATGGTCAAATACGCAGAATGTCGGTCAACCCGCAGCCAAAATGCAGTACTATCAGCAACTCTGACGAACCTCCAAGATGCAACGGTAACCCCGTTGCAGACTCTGATTACTTCCCTCGATTGCAGCGTCGTTTCCCCTGGTCAAACTTGCTGCTACGTAGCTTGGAAAGGTCGCGTTCAAATAGAATACATCCCTGTGCTCTATTCGAGTTGTAGGCAAAAGGCAGCAAACCCCGACAAGTACGCAGCGTGCTCAATAGCTGTGTGCAACAGTGGGCATAACAACAATGCCCAGCAGCAGCTCAGGGAAGGACAAGGTGCAGTGCCAAATAGTAGTACCCAGCGTCACACAGCAAGACACAACGTATACTAAAAAACACACAGTGGGTTCACAGCACCTGCACAAAAATGAACAGCATACGCAGTATAGCTCTTGGCTTGGAAGGAGATTGTGTCTTCCTCAGCACAACAGTAAAGATCGCCCAGTTCAACAACGATGCAGTGATCGCACAACAGCGGGAAATGGCAGGTCGAGGCAAGACTCGATCAGCAGCATCTTCAAACAGGAAGAAGGCAACCGCCTTCGTTCTGTCCAACAATACTTAGAGAAAAACCCACTACCCCCCTGAAACAAGCGGCAACAGTCTTAGGCTTCGATAACAGAACCTAACAGTCGGGGACCAGTCCTCGTTGCAGCCTGTATAAAGTTACAACAACAGCCTTGAGCTTCAACACTGTCACACCCTATCCCGACAACAACACCACAGCAACACAACTGCTGTGTAATCGCAAACAGAACTAGATTGCCGACTGCAGCGACAAACAGCTTCCGACCCTAGCGACCACGAGTCTAGCCTAATGCAAAATGATCACGTATCTCCTGTTGAAGTGTGGAAGGATACACCGTTGAACTTTATGTTGCTATCCCCCAACCTATCGCGGCTTCCTGGCGTGTACTCTCGATCCTTTCTCCTCCCGTCTCTTTTCTCTTCAAGGAGAATGAACGATAGCGGAATGACAAAACTCCTAAACGCAAATTCACATTGAAAACCAGCAAAAGTGCCGCCTCAGCTAAGTCCCCACGTGATAATCATGTAGGTCTTTGCAACCGGTTGCTGACTTTCGGCCACCTCCTAGTCCACGTTCGGACGAAGGTGAGTTGTCCTCTCTCACTCTCCTTTACCTTTACTCAGTCCTCTCCCTCTCTGAATGTCCTTAGCCCGAAGATCAGACCAGGCCCACTCCACTTTGGCTTCCTGCAGCGTAAGCAGGCAGAAACAAATGCGGTTGGCTGGAGGTGATTGAGTCCTTAAATGCAGATTCGACTGTGCAGATCTTCGCACTGGCCAGGTACGTGCCCCACGCTCACTTCTTCTCCTCTCTCTCTCTCTCTCTCTCTCTCTCTCTCTCTCTCTCTCTCTCTCTCTCTCTCTCTCTCTCTCTCTCTCTCTCTCTGTCTTTCTCTCTCTCACGCACCTAACCCATCGTAGCGGCCAGGTTTACTCTAGCCCGTAGTCTGAGAAAACGGGCAAAACCAGTCGAGGATGGTTATAGCAAAAAGCAGTCGCGCTGCGACAAAAAAAAAACCACGAGACGAACGGAAGGGGCAACGAAAGACTCTTTTCTCCCCTTCGATCCCCCGCCCCCTTCTCACTTTTCTCTCTTTGCTGCGCTCGTTCCGCCCGCTACTCAGCCCCCAGGTCACGAGCGCACTTGGCCGCTTTCCGTGCCAGGTTCGTTCAAGACTTGAGTAAACGAATCCGAGGTATGCACCATGATCGAGATAAACCTTGATCAGCGTGATAACAATCGCGACCCCGATAGCAGCAAAAGGAGGGGAATGTAACTTCGAAGTTGGAACTAACTACACTCGAAGAAAAATGAGAATGAATATTCGACTAGAACGCGGGTAAGTTCATTCCCTCCCCCCTTCTCATGCCTCTTTCTCTCTCACTCTTGCTAACGCATTTCTCAAGATTAATCAATAACGGTGAGCAGAAAGGACAGTAGTCAGGCCGGGGTCATGATGACGAGCAGAAAATAACAAGTTAGAAAAAGGAAAATGAATCTTCTCCCGAAACACGAAAGTTACAGTTTCCCTGTGAAGCGTATTTTCTTCACGCGCAGCTCCTACCACTCATCTCGAACACACTAACGACCCAGTGCAAAAACTAATACTACCATTGCGTTCGACCCTCCTCAAAACCCCGTGTCGCATCTTCACTCGCTCAATTCCATGGAGAATTGAGTGAGTTACCTCTTTTTTCCTTTCGCCATCCTCACCCTCCTTCATCTTCCCGCGCACCTCTTTTCTTCTCTATCTCCCATTCTACTGACTTTCCACTGAAACTAATGTTAGATTCCGGTTTGCCCGGCCTAAAAACCCCAATCTAGCATCTGTTATCGCCTGATTTCATTGAGAAACGAACGAGTTACACTCTTTTCGCCCCGCCATAGATGCTTCTTCTCCATTGTTGCATTCTTCTTGCCTCGGATGCCCCCTGCGCAGCATGCCGTCCATGTTCATTCTCTGGTTTTCCTCTCTTTGCTTGGTGCCACTGTGCTCTAATCCAGACGCTGCCAAGATGGGCCGACCGGTACAGATAGGAGGACGCTGGTCATTGAAGTCGAAATCTGCTAAGGGGTGAGTAACAACTCACTTGTCGGAACCAATCAGTCCCGAAAGGGATTGCGCTGTAGTGCACGGCCTACACTTGGCCGTAGTGGCTCCTCCTACACAGCGGTAAGTAGAAGGGCGCAGGGCCTGTTGCGGAACCTGCAGCACGGGCCCAAGTGGAGCGGGTCTTGGTGCAGATCTTGGTGGTAGAAGCAAATATTCAATTGAGAAGTTTTGCAAGCCGAAGTGGGGGCGGGTTCAATCTCACCTACTGGTGGAATAGCCTGCCACCCAGCCAAAATTGTGGCAGCCTCCCACCGGTGGCCCCCCCCTGGCCCCAGCCAGCTCAGGCATAGTTCACCATCTTGCGGGCCCTGGCGGGTATACTCACACTCGACCCTCTCCCAGC